AATGCTTCCTCCTGCTTCCCTTCCCCGACCCACTATCATGATCCCAATTCTACCTTACACATCTGGCTAGACCAGAGGATGTACACTGGTACAGATAGGAACTGTAAACACAGGGACTCCAGGACAGATGATCCCTTTAGGACCAGTGGTGAGAGTGGCGATACCAGGAGGGTGGAGGGAAGGTGGGGTAGAAAGGAGAAACCAATTACAAGGATATACATATAACCTCCTCCCTGGGAAACGGACAACAGAAAAGTGGGTGAAGGGAGACATTGAACAGTGTAAGATATGACAAAATAATAATAATTTATAAATTATCAAGAGTGAGGGAGGGAGGGAGAGGAAAAATGAGAAGCTGATACCAAGGGCTCAAGTAGAAAGAAAATGTTTTGAGAATGATGATGGCAACAAATGTACAAATGTGTTTGACACAATGGATGCATGGATGGATTGTGATAAGAGTTGTATGAACCCCCAATAAAATGATTTTTTAATAAAAAGTGAGTCTTAGACACCCACTGGGGCAGTTGTATTGCCCTGCAGAGTCGCTCTGAGTAGCAGTGAGACTGAGTGTGGGATTACAGAGAGGCATGCTGGGAGAGGCTGCCTGGTGCAGTCCTGTGGTGTCTGACCGGAACTGGAGTGCCAGCAAGCAAGGAGGGAGGAGGCATCTCAAGGCTCCAGAAGCCAGACAGTGGCAGGAGGGCTATCTCTGGGCCCGAGGGCTATCTCGTGTACCCTTGGAGTACTGGGCCTCTCCACATCACTCGGAGACTCGTCTCTGGGCAGCCCTGCAGGGCAGGTGTGCCGCTGCTCCAACCACAAGCTGTGGCCACCAGGGCGCCCCCAAGAAGACACCTGCTTACACTCCCAGGCCTGCAGCACACGCGCGCGGGTCCATCATCTGATCGACAGTCCCATGAAACCTCCAGTCAGGACTCTTTCCCTCTGTCACTCCAGCCCCAGGCTGCTCAGGGAATACAGTCCGAGGGGGAGGGGGACTCCGCACCCGCTGCCTCAGTGCCAATCCATGACCCATCTTGGGGTGCCGGGCCCCCAGGAGTTCACATTGTCATCATCTCTGGTCTTTAAGGAGACCATCATTTCCCCTGCCTTTGCCGCTCTGGGGCTCTGCAGGGGAAGTCCCAATAGCAAACCCCTCCCAGGTGGAGGGAGAGCCCCACCTTCAGCCCTGGGGTGGGTGGGTGAGCATCTCCAACACCACCTAAAAGGTCTGGCCCGGTCCAACTCAGGGCCTGATACTTTCTCTCCATCTGTGCTGGCGGCCCTTGGACATGGGTGAAAGCGCCCTCACTCAGCATGCTCTGCAACCCTTGCCACCTTGGGTGCCCCCAGAAGCTCCTAATGGCAAGCTCCAGATTGGGAAGTGGGTGCAGATGCCCAGCCGGCCGGCCTGACCTTTGGCATGGACTTCTGTGTCCTGGAGGCAAGGTCGGGGTGAGGGTGGGGGGGACAATGGCTGAAGCATTCCTCAGCTACCCCCTCGTCCAGGCCATGCCCTGCTGCAGGGGGGAGAACAATGATGGCTGTGTGCTGCCCCCAGGCAGGTGGGCGGGGTCTAGGGGAGGGCCTTGGGTGGCCCCAGCTCCAGCCCCACCTCTCTTGATGTCCCCGCCACGCTCCTGCACAGTCACTCCGATCTGACATCTCCATCAGTCCTGTCCAGGGTCCACCTCGGGGGAGGCTCCTTGTTTTCCTCCCACCCCTGGCATACACCCTGGGTTGCTAACTGGAAGGTCAGCAGTTTGAGTCCCTCAGCAGCTCCTCAGGACAAAAGACGAGGCTGGCTGCTTCCTTAAAGTTTCCCAACTTCAGGGACCCTTGTGTGGCAGTTCTGGTCTGTTTCAG